TTTCTGTTATTTATTTCTAATCCAATTTTGTGGGATCAGAGAACATAATTTACATGATTTCAATTCCCTTTTTTTTTTTTTCAAGACGGAGTCTTGCTGTGTCACCCAGGCTGGAGTGCAGTGGTGTGATCTCGGCTCAATGCAACCTCTGCCTCCAGGATTCAAGCGATTCTCCTGCCTCAGCATCCCCAATAGCTGGGATTACAGGCACACGCCACCATGCCCAGCTAATTCTTGTATTCTTAGAAGAGATGAGGTTTTACCATGTTGACCAGGCTGGTCTCGAACTCTTGATCTCGTGATCCGCCTGCCTTGGCCTCCCAAAGTGCTGGGATTACAGGTGTGAGCCATCGTACCCGGCCCAGATTTCAATTATTTTACATTTGTTAAACTTTGTTTTATGGTACTTTGAATGTGGTTTATCTTGCTAAATGTAGCAAGGAATACACACTTGAAAATAAGGTGTATTCCACCACATTATGGAGGCCTTGTCTTCCGAATGTCCAGTGGTTGCCCTGGATGATAATGTTGCTCAGGTCCACTGCATCTTTATTTTCTGCTTACCTGTTCCAGCAATTACTGACAGAGGAGTGTTAAATTCTCCGCCTGTAATTGTGGGTTTGATGGTTTCTCCTTTCAGTGATGGCAGGCTTGCTTTATATATATTAGGTGCATATACGTTCAGAATTATAGTATTCTTGATAAATGGAAACTTTTATCCTAACAAATTATTCTTCTTTATCTCTGGTAATATCCCATGCCCTGGCAAATATTTTGCCAGATATTAATATAACTACTAAAGTTTTCTTATGATTAGTGTTTACATGGTATATCCTTTTGCGTCCTTTTTACTATGCCTTTATAGTTGAAGTATATTTATGCCTGGGCAATATAGAAGATTCTGTCCTACAAAAACTTTTTTTTTTTTATTTTTTGAGACAGAGTCTCACTCCATCACCCAGGCTTGAGTGCAGGGGCACAATCTCAGTTCACTGCAACCTCCACCTCCTGGATTCAAGCAATTTCTCGTGCCTCAGCCTCTCAAGTAGCTGGAATTACAGGTGCGCACCACCACACCTGGCTAATTTTTGTATTTTTGGTAGAGATGGGTTTTTGCCATGTTGGCCAGGCTGGTCTCAAACTCATGATCTCAAGTGATCCACTCACCTCAGCCTCTCAAAGTGCTGGGATTATAGGCATGAGCCACCATGCCTGGACTCTACAAAAAATTAAAAATTAGCTGAGCACGGTGGCCTGAGCCTGTGGTACCAGCTACTCAAAAGGCTGAAGTCGGAGGATCGTTTCAGCCCAGGAGGCAGAGGTTGCAATGAGCTGAGATCACACCACTGCACCCCAGCCTGGATGACAGAGCGAGACCCTGTCTCAAAAAATGATAATGATAATAATAAGGGGCATATCTTGTATAACTGCATAACATGTAACTATTATATGTATTATGTTTAGAATTTTTTTTTGAGATGGAGTTTTGCTCTTGTTGCCCAGGTTGGAGTGCAGTGGTGCCATCTTGGCTCAGTGCAATGTCCACCTCCCGGGTTCAAGTGATTCTCCTGCCTCAGCCTCCCAAGTAGCTGAGATTACAGGCATGTGCCACCGTGCCTGGCTAGTTTTTATATTTTCAGTAGAGGCAGGGTTTCGGCATATTTGGCGAGGCTGGTCTCAAACTCCTGACCTCAAGTGATCCACCTGCCTGGGCCTCCCAAAGTGCTGAGATTACAGGTGTGAGCCACTGGGCCTGGCCTATAATTTTACAAACATAATAATTTTGTATAATGAAGGCATATTTGTGTATTTAAATTTTTTAAAAATAAGGTCATATAATCTCCGCCTTTTTATTGGAGTATTTAGACCATTTATATATGATGTAATAATTAAGAGCGCCTCTGCCCAGCTGCCAACCGGCTGGGAATTGAGGAGCGCCTCTGCCTGGCCACCGCCCCATCCGGGAAGTGAGGAGCGCCTCTGCCTGGCCACCGCCCCATCCGGGAAGTGAGGAGCTCCTCTGCCCGGCCTCCCTGTCTGGGAAGTGAGCAGCGCCTCTGCCCGGCCACCGCCCCGTCCGGGAAGTGAGCAGCACCTCTGCCCGGCCACCAACCTACTGGGAAGTGAGCAGCGCCTCTGCCCGGCCACCGCCCCGTCCGGGAAGTGAGCAGCACCTCTGCCCGGCCACCAACCTACTGGGAAGTGAGGAGCGCCTCTGCCTGGCCACCGCCCCATCCGGGAAGTGAGGAGCTCCTCTGCCCGGCCTCCCTGTCTGGGAAGTGAGCAGCGCCTCTGCCCGGCCACCAACCGACTGGGAAGTGAGGAGCGCCTCTGCCCGGCCTCCCTGTCTGGGAAGTGAGGAGCCCCTCTGTCCGGCTGCCGTGCAACCTTCCAAGTGTGAAGTGACAGCCTTGTGTGTGATCTTTTCTGTCTTCCCCAAGTTTGAACTTTCGACATTAAAGTTTACCTTTTAGTTAAAAATAATAATAATAAAAATAAAATGGTAAGTTTTAAGTCAACCATCTTTTTTTTTTTTTTTTTTTCTTTGAGACGGAGTCTCACTCTGTCGCCCAGGCTGGAGTGCAGTGGTGCAATCTCGGCTCACTGCAACCTCTGCCTCCTGGGTTCAAGCAATTCTCCTGCCTCAGCCTCCCTAGTAGCTGGGATTACGGACGCACGCCACCATGCCCAGCTCATTTTTCTATTTTTAGTAGAAACAAGGTTTCACCATATTGGCCAGGCTAGTCTCAAACTCCTGTGATCCACCTACCTTGGCCTCCCAAAGTGCTGAGATTACAAGCGTGAGTCACTGCACCCGGCCTTTTTTTTTTGAGAAGGAGTCTCGTTCTGTTGCCAGGCTGGAGTTCAGTAGGGCGATCTTGGCTCACTGCAACCTCTGCCTCCTAAGTTCAAGTGATTCTCCTACCTTAGCCTCCCAAACAGCTGGGACTACAGGCATGCCCCACCACGCCCAGCTAATTTTTTTGTATTTTTAATAGAGATGAGGTTTCACCATGTTGGCCAGGATGGTTTCGATCTCCTGATCTCATGATCCACCTGCCTCGGCCTCCCAGAGTGCTGGGATTATAGGTATGAGCCACCACACCCGGTCCTGCTATTTGTTTTCTGCTGGTCTTATCTATTCTTTGTTCCTTTTCCTTCTTTTCCTGAATTCTTTTTGAGCAAGTAGTTCGTTGTGGTTGTTGTTTGAGACAGGGTCTGGCACTGTCATCCAGGCCGGAGTGCAGTGGCGCAATCCGGGCTCACTGCAACCTCTGCCTCCCGGCTCAAGTGATCCTCCTGCCTCAGCCTCCCAAGTAGCTGGGACAACAGGCTCATGTCACCAAACCCAGCTAATTTTCCTTTTTTTTTTTTTTTTAAATAGAAATGAGGTTTTATGTTGCCGAAGCTGGTCTCCAACTCCTGAGTTCAAGCCATCTGCCCTCCTTGGCCTCCCAAGGTGCTGAGATTACAGGCGTGAACTACTGTGCCTGGCTATAAGTAGTTTTTAATATTCTGTTCTATCTAGATAATGGGCTTATCAGCTATATCTCTTTATTTTATTTTATTGTATTTTATTTTATTTTATTTTATTTTATTTTATTTATTTTTGTGACTGAGTCTCTTTCTGTCACCCAGGCTGGAGTGCAGTGACTCGATCTGGGCTCACTGCAACCTCCGCCTTCCGAATTCAAGCGATTATCCTGCCTTAGCCTCCCGAGTAGGTGGAATTACAAGCGCGCCACCACGCTCGTCTAATTTTTGTATTTTGAGTGGAGACGGGGCTTCACCACGTTCGCCAGGCTGGTCTTGAACTCCTGACCTCCGGTGATCCGCCCGCCTCGGCCTCCCAAAGTTTTGGGATTACAGGCGTGAGCCACCGTGCCCTGCCCAAATAATATTATATTATTAATACTTCACATGTAATTTAAGAACCTTACAATATAGATTCTCATATGTTATTCTGTAACAGTATAAATGTGTATTTCCATTATCCCCCTTCACTTTTGCTATTGGTGTCATGCATTTTACTTCTACAAGTTATAGAGTTCACAACAGATTGTTATGATTTCTACTTTAGTCAACCGAGCTGGGCGTGGTTCTGCGAGGAGACTGGCGGGGCGCACAGAGGGGCGGGGCGCACTGTGGGGCGGAGCGCACAGAGGGGCGGGGCGCACTGTGGGGCGGAGCGCACAGAGGGGCGGGGCGCACAGAGGGGCGGGGCCACTGTGGGGCGGGGCCGGGCCTGGGGGGAGGTGGGGAGGCCACTGTGGGGCGGAGCCGGGGCCTGCCGGGGTGTGGGAAGAGGGGGTGTTGGGAGGGGCGCCCCGAGGGGCGGGGCCGGGCCGGCGTCGGTTCCCACGGCAACCGACTCCACAGTAAGGCCCCGCGGGCGTCCTGGCCGCCATGTGCAGCGCAGTGGACCCTCGCATCGTCCGGAGATACGTACTCAGGCGGCAGCTCGGGCAAGGGGTGAGTGCCTGGTGGTGCGTCCGCCCTCCGAGGGGCACCGCAGATCTGCGGAGAGAGGACCTGCGGGGCGTGGCCGGTCCCCTCGGAGGCCTGTTCCGTCACACACTGGCGTCCTGCCTCCTCCGTAGGCGGGAGGGGTGATCTGGAGCCTCTTGGTGCCTCAGTTTCCTCATGGGGTAACACGATCCCGACTCCCAAGAACCTGGCTCCTGGAGGCAGGTGACATCCAGGGCCCCCAGCGGCCTCAGGCGGAGGGATCCTGGCGCCCCGCTCCCCACGCGCCCACAGTCGCCGCTTCCGGGGGCCACAGGACGCTCTGGGGAGGCTGGGCCCGCGCCTGGGTCACTGAGAGGGAGGGCGGACCCCAGGCTCAAGAGCGCAAGGGCAAGGCCCGAGAAGGGCCTGACTGGGTATGGGGTGGGCGCAGAGCGAAGGCCAGAGCCTTCTGTATCCGTGTGCGTGTGTGAGCATGTGGGCCTGTGTGTGTGTGCGTGGGCGGGTGGGGGGTGTTCCAGGGTGCCATGGGGAGGGGAGGAAGAGCCTTCCAGGCAGTGCAGAGAGCAAGTGCGTAGCCCCAGCGCAGGGTTGTGTGTGCCACTGGATAGGAGTAGCCCCAGCGCAGGGTTGTGTGTGCCACTGGATAGGAGTAGCCCCAGCGCAGGGTTGTGTGTGCCACTGGATAGGAGTAGCCCCAGCGCAGGGTTGTGTGTGCCACTGGATAGGAGTAGCCCCAGCGCAGGGTTGTGTGTGCCACTGGATAGGAGTAGCCCCAGCGCAGGGTTGTGTGTGCCACTGGATAGGAGTAGCCCCAGTGCAGGGTTGTGTGTGCCACTGGATAGGAGTAGCCCCAGTGCAGGGTTGTGTGTGCCACTGGATAGGAGACGGAGAGAGACAGGTGAGTGGTGAGGGTCCGGGTGTGGGGGCTTTGGGGAACTTCCCAGACTTTGGTTTTTACTGTTGCTGACGCTGGGAGCTGTAGCAGCTGCTGGTGTCACTTTACAAGGCCCACTCCTGTGTTGAGGACCCACTACGGGTGAGCACAGGAGTGGCAGACAGAGATGAGTTAAGGGGTTAGCATAGCCACCCAGTGAGAGACGTCAGAGGCTGGGACCAGGATGGGGGCAGAGGAGACAGCGGCAACGGCTAGATTCTGGAGGAATCTGAAGGTGGGGCCAAGAGGATTGGGGGTAGATGGGGTGTGAGAGAAAGGGAGGGAGAGCGCCTGGGCGGCTGGAGGGATGGTAGGGCATCCCCGAGCTTCATTTCCTGCCCAGACGCTCCCCTCTGTGGCCTCCTTTCCTCCGGGGCCTCGCCAGCTCTCACCCTCCCTCCACTCTACCTCCCTCCTCTGGAAGATGTCGGAGTCTAGGGCAGCCTGCAGTTGCAGAAGCCCACACTCCATCCCCTCTCGGGACCCAGGATGGGAAGGAGGAGCCTCATGTCTGTAGGGACAATCTGGGTGGGTAGGGGATGGCGGGGCAAGGGCCTGGCCCTGTATGATGGCACTCCTTCCCAGGCCTACGGCATTGTGTGGAAGGCAGTGGACCGAAGGACTGGTGAGGTCGTGGCCATCAAGAAAATCTTTGATGCTTTTAGGGATAAGACAGATGCCCAGGTGAGTGTGTGGGGAGAAGCGCAGGAGAGGATGGGGGCTGGGAGGGGCAGCCCCTTGCCCTGGTGCCTGGAAGCTCCGGTGGGAGCTGGAGCCCGGTCATAGCAGATGTTCTGGCCTGTCTCAGAACACTGCCCCCTTGCCACGCCTGGTCTGGTGGGCATTGGGTGACAGACATCAGCTCCTTTGGGTCCTCTCAGGACAGGAGCTTCCTTCTTGCTCCGCTGACCCACACACCTGTGTTTCTGTCTCTTCAGAGAACATTCCGGGAAATCATGCTCCTCCAGGTGAGTGGCCTGGGCCCTCCAGCCCAGTCCCCTTCCCCAGGTACAGATCTCTCCAGACAGGAGAGAAACCCGGCTTCTTGGCCCCCAGAACACAGCCCCTCCTGGCCTTCCAGCCACCTCCAACTCTCTCCCCAGGAGTTTGGGGACCATCCCAATATCATCAGCCTCCTTGATGTGATCCGGGCAGAGAACGATAGGGACATTTACCTGGTGTTTGAGTTTATGGGTGAGTGAGGCCTCGGCCAGGGCCCCAGCCCCACCTCTGTCCTGTCCTTACGCCCTCTGCGTGTCCCTCTGCGGCCGGCCCACAGTGGCTTGCTCCCTCACCCTGTACCCTGGACTCAGGGACAGACAGCTGACCAGTGTCAGCCTCCAGAGCCAGCAGCGACCCCCTTCGTCCCACCTGCCCCAGGCTCCTGCTCCGACCACAGTTTGCAGTTGTGTTCTCCTTTTCCTTATTTTATGAAACAAGGGCAACGTGAAATAAAGTGTGAAAACTCCTGCAGACCCCACCGCTGTGCCCACAGGCAGTGCGCAGGATGGAGAAGCGGGGCGGCCAGGCCGTGGGCTGGTTCAAAATGGGACAGACCTGCCAGGTGCCCCTCTCCTACTCCCCCCAGGTTGCCCCCCCCACCCTCTCACCCCCTCTCCGCAGACACTGACCTGAACGCAGTCATCCGGAAGGGCGGGCTGCTGCAGGACGTCCACGTGCGCTCCATCTTCTACCAGCTTCTGCAGGCCACCCGGTTCCTCCACTCGGGGCACGTTGTGCACCGGGACCAGAAGGTGTGGTCCCCTCGCCTCCAGCCCCCTGCTAGGCCACGTGGCCCAGCTCCTGGCCCCACCCAGCCCCAGGGCCTCAGCCTGCCTCCTCTCTGCAGCCGTCCAATGTGCTCCTGGATGCCAACTGCACAGTGAAGCTGTGTGACTTTGGTCTGGCCCGCTCCCTGGGCGACCTCCCTGAGGGGCCTGAAGACCAGGCCTTGACAGAGTACGTGGCCACACGCTGGTACCGAGCTCCGGAGGTGCTGCTGTCTTCACACCGGTAACAGCCGGACACCCCCAACCCACCCTCCACCTCCCTGCTGCCCTCCTGCCCAGCCAGGGCTCCCAGGCCTCCTGTACTCCCACCCTGCCTTGGTCCACAAGTGTCCCCCATTCACCCCCCTAGCAACCCCACCCCCACTTCTGCCTCTGGGTCTCTCCGTGCCTACACCCTTTCGTGCCCCAGGTACACCCTTGGGGTGGACATGTGGAGTCTGGGCTGTATCCTGGGGGAGATGCTGCGGGGGAGGCCCCTGTTTCCGGGCACGTCCACCCTCCACCAGCTGGAGCTGATCCTGGAGACCATCCCACCGCCATCCAAGGAGGGTGAGCCAGGTGGCTGGGGCTGGGCACCGGGAATGCTGCAGGTCAGATAGCACAGCTGTGGGGAGACAGCAGCTGACAGGCTAGGACTGTGCTGAGAGGAGGGACGGGGACAGGGAGGATCCAGAGGATGAGGCGGGAACCCCAGGAAGACCAACTGGTGATGGAGGCCCAGGAAGAGCTGCTGGCGGGGGGATGTGGGTAGGCAGCACCTGGCACAGTCACCATGAGAGCCAAGCAGTGACCATGAAGGGGCCAGCACGCTGGACAAGTTCCCCGAGGGATTCAGGTAGCAGGGGCAGGGACTGTCACTGTGCCGGGAGCTGGGGTGCGCCCAGAGAGCTGGGCGGGAGAGATTCAGGTGCTAGGGGAAGAGATGGAGGAAGGCAGTGGTAGTGGGGCCATGGGGGTCACTCTTGAGGGTGGGGGCAAGAGGGAGCTGCACTCCCAGGTACATCTGCTTGTCCGGGTGGAGCCTCCTCATCCGTGGAGGTGGGCGCCAGTGTCCACCTGTGTGAGCACGCCCCAGGGCCAGGTGCCAGAGTGTGGAGCAGGGATTGTGAGCGGGTGCTCCCGTGCACAGGCTGGGTGGCACACCCTGGCGATGGTGTTTGAGCCCTGCCAGACAGCAGAAACCCTGTAGAGAGGCTGTGCTCCCTGGGGCTGGAAGAGACGGCTGGCCCCAGATACCCTGAGCCGCCCCAGTCTACCAGGTCTGCCTGGGTCACACCACCTTCTGCTGCCCCAGACCTCCTGGCTCTTGGCTCAGGCTGCCGTACCTCTGTGCTGCACCGCCTGGGGTCCCGGTGAGTGGGGGCACTTCGGTGAGGGTGAGAGGGTAGCCTGTCTCAAGGGAGCAGGGCCCCCTTCCTGCAAGGTTACTGGGTCCAATTTGTACCAGTTCAGATTCCACCTGCTTTCATGATGGCAGTCCCCAACCCAACAACTGTTGGCCACTCTGAAAGCAGGAGCCCCTGGTGGTGGTCCTAGAGGGTGGCCCGGAGGAGCTGTGCTAGGCGTGGAGAGGAGGGCACCAGGGGGCTGCAGGGGTCTCTCCACTGTGCAGGTCAGGCACAGGGGCACCTACCTAGACAGGACAGCAGGGAGGACCCCAGTTTCAAAGCTGAGCCCCACCCATGAATGTGGATCTGAGGAGGGGCCCTTGGGTCGGGCCCTGGATACGACACACGGCAGCCCACAGGCCACGACAGACGCTGGACGCCCTCCTACCGCCAGACACTTCCCCAGAGGCCTTGGACCTCCTTAGGCGACTCCTGGTGTTCACCCCAGACAAGCGGTTAAGCGCCACCCAGGCACTGCAGCACCCCTACGTGCAGAGGTGGGAGTGGGAGAGAGTCCCCTAAGTGCGGGGGACAGAGGTGGGGGCAGGAGAGAGCCAGCCCACGAGGGAGAGCCCCCGCAGCACGGACCCTGCAATGACAGCTTGAGGGGCTCCCTTGGCCACAGCCCAGGCCTCACCTCTCTGGCTCCCTGCAGGTTCCACTGCCCCAGTGATGAGTGGGCACGAAAGGTACATGTGCAGCTCCGGGCACGCGAAGGGGTCCAGCTCTCTGCGCCTGAGTACCGCAGCCGCGTCTATCAGGTGCTCCAGCTCGCGACCCCCATCATCCCCTGTCTACTGCACCCTGGAGGCCGCGACCCCCATCATCCCCTGTCTACTGCACCCTGGAGGCTGCCTCCGACGTTAGAGACCCCCAAACACCCATGCCCAGGCTGTGCCCTCTGAGCACCCTTCTCCTCTTGCAGATGATCCTGGAGTGCAAAGGCAGCAACGGCACCTCAAGAGAGAAGGGCCTGGAGGGTGTCTCCCCGTCCCAGGCACACCTGCACAAACCCAGAGCTGACCCGCAGCTGCCTTCCGGGACACCTGTGCAGGGCCCCAGACCCAGGCCTCAGAGTAGCCCGAGCCATGACCCCCCCGAGCACGGTGTGTGATCTTTGCTGGCTACCCACACTACCCACACAGAGCATGGCCCGGGCCCCTTCTGCCTGTGGCTGCCAACTGTGCGCAGCGTCGGGTTCCTGACTCTGGGGTTGACTTTCTGACTCCACAGAGTTCCCCCGTGCAGCCAAGAACACCCCCAGGCAGAACTCCGCTCCCAGGCTCCAGCCTGCACTCCTAGGGAGCAGGGAAAGGCCCCCCGGGGCGAAGGAAGAGCCCCCCTTGACATTCTTGCTGGTAAGTCATGGTGGGGTGGGCACAAGAGGGACCCTTCCTCTGCACCTTTCTGTGACCCTGTGACATGGCCCTCCCCAGGAGAAGCCAGGCCGGAGGGGAGCTGCGCCTTCCCTGACCTCACAGGCTGCAGCTCAGGTGGCCAACCAGGCTCTGATCCGGGGTAACTGGAACCGGGGTGGTGGGGTGAGGGTGGCCAGCACACAACAGGTGAGCCCGGCCCAGTCTGCCCCCGTCCCCTCATCCTCCTCTTCCCCTCCTTTTCCCTCCCTTCCCCATCCTTCCCATTGCCCCTCCAATGTCCAGTTCAAATCTCTCGAGGACCTCAAGGCCTCCCCTCCACTGCACCCCCTCTGACACCCTCTTCATGTGACCCTCAACTACACACAGGTCCCTCCCCGGCGTCCTCCGGAGGCCCGGCCCGGCCGGAGGATGTTCAGCACCTCTGCCTTGCAGGGTGCCCAGGGGGCCGCCAGGGCTCTGCTTGGAGGCTACTCCCAAGCCTATGGGACTGTCTGCCACTCGGCACTGGGCCACCTGCCCCTGCTGGAGAGGCACCGTGTATGAGCTGCCCTACTCCCTTCACCTGGCCCCCTGTTCCTGCCCCGGCCCCTTCCCCAGACCCCTCCCCAATATCCTGCACCCCTTAGCCCTCCCTGCTTTGCCAGGCCACGTTGAAGTTCCAGGGAGCTCGCCTGGGTCTCCTCGGGGGAGCAGATGAGGGCCCTGCCCCAGCCCCAGTGATTTCCTCCAATAAAGTCATGTCTGCCCCCAATCTGAGCAGCCATCGTTCCTCCCCTCCCCTCTGAGGTCACAGCATCCACTAGCTGGGGGGCCCGACCCCTTTCCTGGAGCCTCCACTCCTCTGAGGACCCCACCGCCCCTGTCCTGAAACCTCCACCCCAGAGCTCAGTGCCACCCGCCCCACTAGAGGCCCTGCCCACTCCACATCCAGCACTGGGCTTTTCCCTCTAGGTTTGCCTGGGGCAGCTTCCTGTCCTTGGTCCATCATTTTCCTACCTGCTGTGGCTTCAGGGTCCAGGCTGCCCCTCAGGGTGGTCCTGTGGGGTAGGGACCTAGGGTCACCTCATGGCCATGTTTGTGACTCTGAGCCAGAGGAGAGAAGGGGAGAAAGAAGGGGGCAGCCTCGCCCCTCCCCTGCTGTCAGGGATTGCAGCCTGCGCTCCCTCAGTACAGCCACTGCGCCTGATCTGTCTTCAGGTCTCTGTAGGTGAGGGTGGGAGACAGACATCTCGTGAGGTCAGGGTTACCTCCTCTTGTCACCCCCAGGCAAAGGCCCTGGTATGAGTTCAGGCCAGGGCTGTGCAGGGCTGCAGAGATCAAAGGGGCCCTGTGGGCACAAAGCTGTGTCCTAGGGTGCCAGGTGTCCTCAGCTGCACCTGCCCCTGGGTTGGGGCTGGAACACAGGGAGGCAGCTGGAAAGTTCGCAGGCTGGGAGGAGCTCACAGTCTAAAGGGCGCAGCCTGTGCTGTCAGTGGGGGGGTTGGGCTGCCAGACTCACAGTCTGGGAAGCTCACACGCTGGAGGAGCTCACACGCTGGAGGAGCTCACACGCTGGAGGAGCTCACAGTCAGAAAGGCGCAGCCTGTGCTGTGGTCGGGGGTTGGGCTGCCAGGAGCAGGGACGCCTCTGGGTTGTGGAAGCCATTGCCACCATGCGGGAGGGTGGGGAAGGACAAGATGTGGGTGGGGAAGCTGAGCAGAGGGTGGGAGCTAGCGCTGCCCTGGTGCTAGGCCAGGCACCTGCAAGAGACTCAGGGAGGCTGGGCTTGGGAGAAGGTTGGAGGCGGTGGAGGAGGGAGCGGGAGGGCCCGAGGAAGTGGTGAGCCAGTCAGAGACCCAGCCCAGGGGTTTGTTTCCCAAGGGGGCTGCTTGGGTCCTGAAGGCCTAGGGTGCTGAACAAGCAGGACCAAGAAGCTGTGGGAGAGGACGCTGCAGAGAGGCCAGGGGGCTGCAGGGCTGGAGGCTTGGCCTCAGGCTGGGCAGTGTGTGGTAGGGCTGCTGAATGGGGAATCGCAGGTGGGCACTCAGGAGTGTGCCTGCACAGGGGGCATCGGGGACAGGAACAGGAGAGCAGCGTGAAGTCGGAGGAGCCAAGGTGGGCCTTGGAAGTGGAGCCGGGGGGTCTTTAGTGCCCCCACAGGGCTGGGTGGTGGGTCCACAGGGGAAATCCAGGAGGCCACATGGTTAAAGGCTGCAGGAAATAACTGGGAGATTATACACACTGGGGAACGTGCTAGAATATTTTGTGTGTTATGTTTTATTAACACCGAAATGTGCTGCATCATGGTTTAGAGGATGTGGAGGGTGCAGGCAGGAGGCTCCAAAGGCCCAGGCAGGGCCGCCAGCCTCTGGCCTCTCCATGGGCTCCAGCTGGAGAGCCTGTCCGCTCAGCGACACCCCAGGCAGCACACACACAGATGTGCCCACAAGAACATCATGGCCAAGAGACACTCAGGTGCATTCCACTTCCAGGCACCTTTGCCCCTGGCCAGAAGTCCCTGCTGTCATCCCTACGTGGGTGGTGGCTTTGGTCACCAGTGGGCTGTTCAGCAGTGAGAGTGAGGTCACTTCCCTTTCTCTCCCAGCTGCTGGAGTCAGAACTGCTGCCTTTGTTTGGTGGCCTTGTTTCTTAAATCAGTTCCCTCTTAGGATTTATTACACTAAAAAGATTATTTTTTGAAAAGAAAGAGAATACAGAAACATGAATTTCACAAGGCTAGCATCTAACAGTAGGGGATGTTCTACACATGTGGTGCCAAAATGTGTCATTCTGAGTCAACTGCAATTCCTCTCTGGGGGTGAAAAGAGATACAAGATAACCCAGGAACTCTAGACAGATTCTTAGTGTTGGTGACAAAGAGGAAAGGACCTGAGAATGGGGTTGGAGGGGGTTGTCTGCTGGACACCAGGAGGGCAAGGACCACTCCCACCTACAGGGGTGCCCAGGACCTATGTCTAAACAGCTGGGCTTGGCCTGGGCTGCACCTTGTCCCCTGCCCTCACCTGGTCCCATACCTGTCAAGGATAAGCCCCCCCAAATCCGGCCCTTCTGGCACCTGGCTTGGGCTGGGCCTGTGCAGGGGGTGCTCATGAGGCCAGGGCTACAGGTTGTCCAGACCATGTTTTATTGTGCTGCAAAGCCCAGTGCCCCTCCCACTCTCACCCAGTGCTGGCTAGAGCCTTGCTGGAGGAGACGGCAGACCTGGCCAAGGCGGACCTTTGGGCTTCCCTGCACCCCCTTCCCAGTGGCCTGCCTTGTCCAGCTTCCTTGCCACTCCAAGGGGCATCTTCTGGTCCAGCTTCACACCCCCCCCCGACCTTGCAAACTGCCCACAGCCAGCCCAGTCTTCCCCCACAGCAAGAGGACGGGCCTCCAAGAAAGATGCTGGGAGGCAGCGAGCCAGAGAATCCAAGTAGAAAAGGAAGTGAAGCCCTGAGGACGGGGGAGACCCTGGGCAGGGGTGGGGGCGGGGAGGAAGGGAGAAGACCCTGAGAGAGGGAGGAGGGAGGGAGGGAGGAGGGAGGGAGGGAGGGAGGGAGGGAGGGGAGAGGCCCTGAGAACAGGAGGCCCTGAGGAGGAAAAGGGCCCAGAGAATGGGGAATTGAGGCACAGAGGTGAGGCCCTTGCAAGAGGATAGAGACTTAGAAGGGTGTGCGGCTCATGCCTGTAATCCCCCCACTTTGGGAGGCTGAGGCGGGCGGATCATTTGAGGCCAGGAGCTGGAGACCAGCCTGGCCAACATAGTGAAACCCTGTCTCTACTAAAAATACAAAAATTACCTGGGCATGGTGGCAGGCACCTGTAATCCCAGCTACTCAGGAGGCTGAGGCAGGAGAATCGCAGGAACCCAGGAGGCAGAGGTTGCAGTGAGCCGAGACCACTCAACTGCATTCCAGCCCTGGGTCTCAAAAAAAAAAAAAAAAAAAAAAAAGGTGGGGCGGGACTGAGGCACAAAGAGATGGCGGAGCCAGATGCTGCGCCACGCAAGGCTGACGGTGCAGAGAAGGTGCTGGAGAGAGAAGGTGCTGAGGGGAGAAAGGCACTGGTGGCAAGGGGCTGGAGCCCCAGCGTTGTGGAGGCCAGGGGCAGAGACAGCAGCTGCCAGGTGAGCCTCCAGTGGAGCTGAGGTCTGGCGCACTCAGCCAAGTCCCAAGTGGCCGTGGCCTGACAGCCTCTGCTCAAACCCATGCGCAGGGCTCTCTGTTCCGTGGGGGCTCTGGGTGACCGTGGCAGCGATGTCAGGAGACTCACTTCTTGCCTTTGAACGTGCCCAGGATCTTGGGCACGAACTTGCCCACCTTGCTGTCCCTGGTGCCCTCCTCCGCGGGGCCTTCCCCTGCCCCAGGGCCGCTGGCCTCCTCTTTCTTGCAGAAGACCTCAAAGCGGCTGTACACGCGCTTCTCCTTGCGCATGCTCTCCATGCGGCGCAGCAGCCGATCACGCTCCTCCGCGCTGGCTGGCAGCGTGCGGCTCAGCCGGCCCTGGGTCCCCAGGCTGTCCGAGCGGAAAATGGCTGAACACTTGTCCTTGTCGGACATATCCGGGGCCAGGCCGCCAGCAGCCGGTGGACGGCCTAGCTCGGGGCTGCTGTGGGCCGGGCCCGGGCCCGGGGCAGGGACTGCACGGTGCTTCTGGCCGTGGGCGCTGATCTGCTCCAGAATGGCCTTCGTGTCATCTCGAAGGTTGCTGCTGTACAAGGCATTGGCCGTGGCTGAAGTCAGGCGCGCCCGCGGGCCCCGCTCATCTCCTGTGGCAGCCTCTGTGCTGTCACCCCGGCCCAGTGACGGCCGCCGCGGGCTCTCAGGTTGCCCGTTCTCCTGCGGCACTGGGAAGCCACTCTCATCCTCCATGCGCCGCTCGCCCTTGGGGCTCAGCAGCTGCCTAAGGCGCAGGGAGCCTTTGCGCAGGACTTCCATGGGGCCGCTCGGCCCCTCCTCCACGGGCCCGGCCTTCGGGGACTCCCCGGAGAAGGTAAGAGTGAGGCTGCCCCTGCGCTCCGGCACGGGAGGCACCGGACTCCCCCTGCGCTCTGGCACGGGGGGCACCGGACTGCCCCTGCGCTCCGGTACGGGTGGCACCGGACTGCTCCTGCGCTCGGGGTAGGCTGAGGTGGGGCTCCCTTTCTGCTCAATAAATCCTGTAGTTGGACTTCCTCTTCGAGTGGAAAACCCGGGCGTGGGGCTCCCCTTCCGCTCAGGGTAAGCCGAGGTGGGGCTCCCTTTTGGCTCATTATGGAGCACCTGGTGCGCCCCGGGCCCTTCCAAGGGCAGAGGGCTGTCCAGCCCTTCCGGGGAGGTTGCGCGGCCCTGGGCAGAGAGGAAGCGGGAGGGCAGGCGGTCGGAGCCGCTCCGGCCCAGCGTGTCGAGCAGCTGCGCCGCGGTGAGCGAGGCGGCTCCCGGCTGCCGCTCCGCCTCCTGGTGCAGTTGCTGCGCAAAAGAGTCGCGCAGGTCCAGGAGGCAGCTCTCGAGGCTGCGGCGCTCGCCACCCACGCCACCTGGGGCTGCCACCTCTTCCCGCCATGCCTGGGACACGACGGTCTTGCTGTGGTTGGCAACGGTGATGGCGCCCACGCCGCCGCCGGAATCACGGGCTGGGCCTTTGTACTTCTCCAGCAGCTCCGCCACCTTGGTGGAAGCCGCGGAGCGCACGGCCTCTCCGCCGGGCCCCAGCGTCTCGCTGACCGTCTGCTCCTTGTGCAGCAGCTGCACCTTCTCTGTGGCCGCCGCAGTCCCGGCCGTACCCTCAGCCTGT